TTTAGATTTAGTATTTTGCATAATAAACGTACATACAAATTAAATTTATATGTAAACTTACATATTCTTTGGTGTATTGATGGAGCAATACATTATCGCTTCTAGCTACATCTGCTAATGCTTCAGTTACATGTTTCGGTGGTGCAAAATCTGCAAATCCAACTCCTAAGTTAATTGGATTATATTTTGAACAAGATTCAATCATTTCTACCCTAAACATCAAATTAAGTCATTTTCTGCCTAAAATAAGCGGTAAACAGTAAAATCTTACCAAATATCCGGGCCAGGACTTCCATATCGGGCAGGTAGTTTGAATTTTGTGCTAATATCACTCATTTTGCAAACTGCTTTCTTGTGAAATTTTAATGTTAATATATAGTTTTAATGTTTATATATTAGCTCAATTATATGTTGCATTGTAGTTAATAATATCTCTACATTGACATGAAATGTGTCATGAAATTGTATATAATTGCATATAATTGCAAAAATATTTACCCTTGTTTTTCATAAATTATTGTGCTGTCACAAAAGTTTATGACAAACAATCACCTCATTATGTTATAACTTGTCAAATAATAAATTGTAGTAAAAAATCATACGTATTTCAAATTATTGAAAATTTTACAAAATTTTGCGAGAAAATTCTAATAAAGTGGCAAAATGTCGATGGATTTGATTTCGTCACCAAATCCACATTTTATTCCAGGGTATTATCAAAATATTCTTCCCGAATTATTATATATAATGTTATTTTAACAAAGGTACACTGGTCATTGTCCCGAATACAAATACCGTGTCGGTAACTCTTATGGCTCCACAACGCATAAATTATTACTAGACCCATCAGTTGGGCACTCAGAAAAGTTAATATTATCGGATAGAAATGTAGATGACTATCAAGTAATACCCAATGTTTATTTAATTTCATAAGTAAATATGGTATATTTACGGTATATTTATTAGGTGGTGAGACCTGCACAAAGAGATATTGATATTGTAAACTCACGTATCAAGCATGGTGGTGAAATTTACCAACATCCAACAATTCCAGGATATGAGGGATTTGTACCAAGACTAAATGGTCTTTTGGTCAAAGATATACAGTGCAAGCTACTGAAGCATTGTCTCAGTTTCAAGAATTGCAACAAGCAGATGCTAAAGCTTTGAATCAGTTGATGCGGCAAGGTGCTTTGCAAGATAAAAAGTGGGATCCGCGAGATTTAGATGATCGGGAGGTAATTTGCTTAGATAGACACGAAATTATAAAAATATTTATAAAATTTATGCGGTACTAGTTGACGACTAGTGAGTTTACTTTGCCGCTTCTTGAAGTACGACCGGAATGCGCCGCGGTTCAAAGAAATCTACCAATAGAAGAGCCACCAATCACACCACCAATGCATTCTCATAGTCCTTACTTTATGGAAAATACTCAAGCTGAGAAATATTTAAAACAAGGTGTGTGTGATATTTACAATTATCATTATTGATCTCTATTATGATTCCCTCATAATATTTTTTAAAGGATTTTCTGGTCATTTACCATTCGGTTATTCTTCGTTTGGAAAAGCTAATCAAGCGTTAACAAACGGTGCTCTTTGTGATTTTACTTCTAACTACCGAAAACGATTAAGTACCGAATGGGCCCCGGTGTCAGTGAGTCGACCTGATCCTCCTCTAGCAATAATAAGTCATCATGTTTATCAAAGACATGTGGGCTTGTTGCCCAATTATGGCGGCCATGTACCAGGAGAAAAGTTCCGGTATGACTTAGAAAAGTTTCTTTATTTGTAATATCAATGATGAAATATTTTTTAAGATTTGGGAATACATTTGGAAATGATACCAGAGATGCAAAACGATGGCTCAGGCAAGATTTTAGTAACTAAAATTTGGTTCCTTAACGTTTCGAATTGGGATATTTTGGGGAATTTGATATTCCTATATTTTTACAATTTCAGAATAAAAAAGTTGTCTCTAATTGTTCCTCCACTTACTCAATTATGGTTAATGAAAGCAAAACACCAGTTTAATAGTTAAAGAAAAATCTTTCATTAATTTTAATCTAAATTCCTTCTAAGTTCTAAGTTCCTTCTGAATTCCGGAACTCTTATTTGTATTCAGAGATGGCACTAGCATGAACTAAAAATCATAAAATAGAATTGTATTGTTTATTTCTATATTTATCGGCAAACGTAAGTAATCGGCATGAGAATTGTGTATGTTTTGAACAGAACTGACACTTTCTTATCGCATTCGCCGCGTGGAATGCAAAGCATGAGATTCAGGAGTGCCGTCCCTCACGACACATGTAGGCGCATCTTAGTTTAGTTTATTCGCAATTGAAGAAAACTCTGAAAAACTGAAAATGTCAATTTTAGCATCTTTTGAGAGGATTTAAGAACCTTTACTCTTCAAAAATTAACTATTTTCTTATCTTGTTATATTATAGTCAAATTTTAATTCCAAAGAAAAATTGCCAAGGTAAAAAACGTGACTAAAAGTGCTAAGAAGAGACATTTTTCAATTTTTGCCAATTTTTTCAATCGCGAATATCTCGCAAACTAAAAGAGATAATTAAGATCCGATCGCAGCGTCTTAATCTACGGACTATTCTCTATTAGATAAGCTGGTTAAAACGGAAATCTGAGAGATGAAATTTTAATCCTTAAGAAAAATTGCCAAGGGGATGCTTGATACTTTTTTCGACGATTTTGATAATTAATATCTCTTAAACTAAAAGCCATAGCAACCAATGCATTGCGGATTATGAAAGATTGGAACATTCTCTATCAGATAAAGATATAAAATAATTATATTTCCTACAGTAAAAGCTCAAAAATTGCGACTAAAAGTACTAAAAAGTGACATTTTGCAATTTTTGCCCATTTTATTGAATCGCGAATATCTCGTAAACTAAAAGAGATAATTAAGATCTGATCGCAGCGTCTTAATCTACGGACTAATCTCTATAAGATAGGCTAGTTAAAACGGAAATCTGAGAGATGAAATTTTAATCCTTAAGAAAAAATTGCCAAGGGGGGGTGCTTGATACTTTTTTTCGACGATTTTTGATAATTAATATCTCTTAAACTAAAACCCATAGCAACCAATGCATTGCGGATTATGAAAGATTGGAACATTCTCTATCAGATAAAGATATAAAATAATTATATTTCCTACAGTAAAAGGTCAAAAATTGTGACTAAAAGTACTAAAAAGTGACATTTTGCAATTTTTGCCCATTTTATTAAATCGCGAATATCTCGTAAACTAAAAGAGATAATTAAGATCCGATCGCAGCGTCTTAATCTACAGACTATTCTCTATTAGATAAGCTGGTTAAAACGGAAATCTGAGAGATGAAATTTTAATCCTTAAGAAAAATTGCCAAGGGGATGCTTGATACTTTTTTTCGACGATTTTTGATAATTAATATCTCTTAAACTAAAACCCATAGCAACCAATGCATTGCGGATTATGAAAGATTGGAACATTCTCTATCAGATAAAGATATAAAATAATTATATTTCCTACAGTAAAAGGTCAAAAATTGCGACTAAAAGTACTAAAAAGTGACATTTTGCAATTTTTGCCCATTTTATTGAATCGCGAGTATCTCGTAAACTAAAAGAGATAATTAAGATCTGATCGCAGCGTCTTAATCTACGGACTATTCTCTATAAGATAGGCTAGTTAAAACGGAAATCTGAGAGATGAAATTTTAATCCTTAAGAAAAAATTGCCAAGGGGGGGTGCTTGATACTTTTTTTCGACGATTTTTGATAATTAATATCTCTTAAACTAAAAGCCATAGCAACCAATGCATTGCGGATTATGAAAGATTGGAACATTCTCTATCAGATAAAGATATAAAATAATTATATTTCTTACAGTAAAAGGTCAAAAATTGCGACTAAAAGTACTAAAAAGTGACATTTTGCAATTTTTGCCCATTTTATTAAATCGCGAATATCTCGTAAACTAAAAGAGATAATTAAGATCCGATCGCAGCGTCTTAATCTACGGACTATTCTCTATAAGATAGGCTAGTTAAAACGGAAATCTGAGAGATGAAATTTTAATCCTTAAGAAAAAATTGCCAAGGGGGGGTGCTTGATACTTTTTTCGACGATTTTTGATAATTAATATCTCTTAAACTAAAAGCCATAGCAACCAATGCATTGCGGATTATGAAAGATTGGAACATTCTCTATCAGATAAAGATATAAAATAATTATATTTCCTACAGTAAAAGGTCAAAAATTGCGACTAAAAGTACTAAAAAGTGACATTTTGCAATTTTTGCCCATTTTATTGAATCGTAAACTCGTAAACTAAAAGAGATAATTAAGATCCGATTGCAGCGTCTTAATCTACGGACTATTCTCTATAAGATAAGCTAGTTAAAACGGAAATCTGAGAGATGAAATTTTAATTCGAAAGATAAAATGGGCGAATGAAAGTCAGCCCAAACACAATTCACTTCTACCGCTACCCTTGTACGGTGCACTGAATAAAGTCACTTTCACCGCTACCCTCGTATGTACCCGTGTAATGGGAATCACTTCCACCGTTACCTTCGTACGGTGCCCTGAATGGAAGTCACTTCTACCACTACCTTCGTACGGTCAATTATAAGAAAGCGGGCAATCATACGAAATTACATTATTATTATTATATAAGTCGTATTTTAATTTTTATTTTAAACTAAATTGAGGGAGATGGTCATCATTCATATATGTCACTAGCATGAACTAAAAATCATAAAATAGAATTGTATTCTTTATTTCTATATTTATCTGCAATCGTGGGCATTCAGCACGAGAATTGTGTTTGTTTTATCACAATTTACTTTCTTATCGCTGCGGCCGCGTGGAATGCAAGGCATGAGATTCACGAGTGCCGTCCGTTGCCATCCCCTCACGCCGCATGTTGGCGCATCTTAGTTTAGTTTTGATCGCAGGTAACGTGCCTATTGCAATTCGCAGACAAGGTCGCGTGCTCTCGACGCGCCGGCTTTGTGCACGTTTGCAGTCAGTGCCGTGCCGGTCGCTTGCCGTGATGTGTTTTGATCTACTCGTATTGTTTGTCCGAACTTCCGCTTTCAAAATTTGCATTATATTAGATCATCAATCGACTATTTAATTGTAAATACTATAGTAATGTTATATATTACTCGCGCGTTTATGGTACATTATTGTACAAACGTCGTAGGATATTTAATCGCGTTTCGTGTGCATACTTATTCAGGTTACAAGGTTAGGTGTCGGCCGGTAATTGATTCGGATGTAGGATGGCCTCCATGTACATTTATTCATCAGTATCCTTGCGTAAGTAACTTTTCATTCAACAACACATATTTTATGTTTTGTTTGATGTATAAAGAAATTATTCTTAAATCTTATGAAATGTTTCAACTTCTTTTATTTAATTACAGCACTTGTTGTGCGCTGGTGACTGATGCACACAATAACAATCGTAAGTATATATTTCAATCATATCTTTTATTCTAATTTACGCTGTTACCATTCATTGCATTATTACATATGTACTTCAAAACGATCACGAAAGCTTGCCTTTTATCCAATATTTCAATACTTGCAGTGGAAAACGGATCATATTTTGCGAACTGTTCGCCATATTTTTATTTTTTGTCGAATTCTGATAGATCTAGCTTTTTTATAATGCACCCCTTAACCCCCGCAAAATTCGGTTATAGCTGACTCAAAATGGCCGCCAAAGATGGCTCATTTTACATTTTCCAAAACATGCGGTGGAAATCGGGTCATATCTCGCAAACCTTTCGCGATATTTTTAGTGTTTCTTCGGATTATAATAAACTAAGAGTCCTTTTATAAAATGCACCCCAAACCCCGCAAAATTTGGCCGTAACTGCGTAATTGTCGTGTGTTTTCAAGGACTAATTTTTTTGTTTTAAGGATTTTGCACCTGAGTCTGACATCGAAGAAGGACCATTCTTGCAACACATTATGAATATTTAATTTCTTTATCATTTTCCTAAATAACTTTTCTGATTATCTATTAAATTGACCCCAAAATGCATTTTTATGTTTGAATGACTAACTTTTCGTTGATAGAAAGGATAAACCTTAAGGCTTTCACTAAAACTTTTACCACTCTACGACATGTTTCGCCACACTGTGGCATCATCAGGCAGATAAATATTATCATTTTCTTAATTTACTTTTGTGATTATCTCACAAATTAACCCCCAAAATTAAATTTTTATGTTCCAAGGACTAATTTTTAATGGTTTTAGGATTTTGCACCTGAGTCAGACATCATAGAAGGACCGTTCTTGCATCAAAGTGTAGGTATTAAATTTTTATCATTTCCCTGAATAACTTTTGTGATTATCTCACAAATTGACCCCAAAATTGCATTTTTATGTTCGAAGGACTAATTTTTGATGATTTTAAGGATTTTTCACCTGAGTCTGAGTTCGTAGAAGGACCATTCTCGCATCAAATTGTAAGTAATAAATTTCTTTATCATTCTCTTTATTTACTTTTGTGATTATTTCACAAATTGACTCCCAAAATTGCATTTTAATGCTCGCAGGACTAATTTTTGCTGGTTTTAGGAATTTTGCTCTTGAGTCTGACATCGTAGGAGGAACATTCTTGCATCAGAATGTAAGTATTAAAATTCTTTATCATTTTATTAATTAATTTTTGTGAATACCTTACAAATTGCCCCCAATATTGCATTTTTATGTTCGATGGACTAATTTTTGATGGTTTTAGGGATTTTGCACCTGAGTCTGAGATCGTAGAAAAACCCATTCTGGTATCAGATTGTAAGTAATTAATTCCTTTATCATTTTCCCAAATAACTTTTATGATTATCGAACAAATTGACCTCCAAAATTGCATTTTTATGTTCGAAGGACTAATTTTTGATGGTTTTAGGGATTTTGCACCTGAGTCTAACATTGTAGAAGGACCATTCTTGCATCAGAATGTAAGTATTAAAATTCTTTATCATTTTCCTAATTAACTTTTGAGATTATGTCATTAATTGACCCCAATATTGCCTTTATATGTTCGAAGGACTAATTTTTGATGGTTTTGGGGATTTTGCACCTGAGTCTGAGATCGTAGAAGGACCATTCTGGCATCAGATTGTAAGTAATTCATTCCTTTATCATTTTCCTAAATAACTTTTGTGATTATCGTACAAATTGACCCCAAAATTGCTTTTTATGTTCGATGGACTAATTTTTGCTTGTTTTAGGATTTTGCACCTGAGTCTGACATCGTAGAAGGACTATTCTTGTGTTAGATTGTAAGTAAATAATTCCTTTATCATTTCCGTAAATAACTTTAATGATTATCGTACAAATAGACCCCCAAAATTGCATTTTTATGTTCGAAGGACTAATTTTTGCTTGTTTTAGGGATTTTGCACCTGAGTCTGACATCGTAGAAGGACCATTATGGTATCAGATTGTAAGTAAATAATTCCTTTATCATTTTCTTAAATAACTTTTATGATTATCGTACAAATTGACCCCCAAAATTGCATTTTTATGTTCGTAGGACTAATTTTTGCTTGTTTTAGGGATTTTGCACCTGAGTCTGTCATCGTAGAAGGACCATTCTGGTGTCAGATTGTAAGTAATTCATTCCTTTATCATTTCCCTAAATAACTTTAATGATTATCGTACAAATTGATCCCCAAAATTGCATTATTATTTTCGAAGGACTAATTTTTGCTTGTTTTAGGGATTTTGCACCTGAGTCTGACATCGTAGAAGGACTATTCTTGTGTTAGATTGTAAGTAATTCATTCCTTTATCATTTTCCTAAATAACTTTTGTGATTATCGTACAAATTGATCCCCAAAATTGCATTTTTATGTTGGAAGGACTAATTTTTGCTTGTTTTAGGGATTTTGCACCTGAGTCTGACATCGTAGATGGACCATTCTTGCATCAGATTGTTATTATTAAATTTCATTATCTTTAATAACTTTTGTGATTATTACACAAATTGACTCCCAAAATGTATGCTTGTGTGTTTTCTTTAATAAAGAATATTTTTAAGTTTTCCTAATTATAATTATTTCTCTTATTTCTACCCAATCACATATTTAACGATTCCTTAAACCATTTATTTTGAAAAGTGCATGCTAGTGCCATCTATCAGTTAGAAACTACAACAACCGAAAGTTTTGAGCTTCGGTTCGTCGCCACCAGAGGCAGCACATTACTAGTTGCCGCAAAAACTTTATCAGCCTCCTCAACTTTCTGCGATCCTAATATTCAATCTTTATTTTGTCGACTCTGAGAGGCAAAATGACACAAAATTTGGACTCGAAACAGTCGAAACTCGACTTTTGGTATTCGGATCGCAGAAATGAGAGGAGGCAGATAAAGTTTCGGCGGTAACTAGTAGAAGCGGGAAAAATTAATGTTCAAAAATCTTCTTTCAGCAAGTCAGCTTCTGTATATTCGGAATTTTTAAATTCTGTGTTCGGCTTCTGTAAGCAAAAATTCTATATCGACTTTTATGTAATTACTTTCTTAACATTGATCGTTTAGGCCCTAATTGCATGTTTTTTTTTAATAAATTGTTTTTTACATGCCAATAGGGCCTTAATCTATAAGTGTGTTGCTGGTTTCCGATTCAGAATTTAATCTACTTTCAGAATCCGAAAACAGAATTTAAAAATTTCAATTATTACTGAACCTGCATTTGCTGAAAAAAGATTTCGTCATAAAAAAGGCAAAACATTTTTCTTTTTTAAGTCGAATGTTGTTTTCATTAAAATTGCAAATAGGGCCTAAACCGTTAATGCTAGCAACAAAATTTACTAAAATAATCGATGTAGAATTAAACTATCTATCAGTAGCCGAAAACAGAATTTCTAAATTCCAACTTTTAATTTTCAACATAAAAAAGAGAAATCTTTTGCCCTTTTATGGTAAATTTTATTTCACAAACCCGCAAAAGAGTAGAAAAAAAGAACCACATATCTCGACCTTGAAAACTCTAAATGCTATGGTAAACCTAATTAAAAACGATGAAAACAAAGTACCAAGGAAAATGATTTTATTATAAAGCGATTTTATGCTGAAAATTTAAATAATGGAATTCCAAATCTGCTCTCGACGATATAACCAATTTTATATCAATACCTGAAAACTTTTATTAGTACTTAATGGTTTAGCTCCCATTTAACCTTTTTTTGAGGAAAAAATTGAATATAAAACAAAACAAATTTAAAAATAATAATAATCTATGGGGAACTATTCATCCACCCTCTGCGTCCCTACACTACAGCACTGAGAACAGCAATATTTCACAAATTCCTCTAGACAAATTTTAATGAAATCTGAATTGAAACAAGTAAATAGAATTCTTTGAATATTATTAGGATCGCAGAAAGTGCAGTATATTTAACTCCTACAACTAGAATAGTGCAACAAGGTTACCCGTGGATAGACAACTAGTAATAACGAGACGAAACGGCATTTCCATAAATTGACTTTAAACTCTTCCATGACTTAGCGAAAAGTACTTCAAGCTTTAATAACCTATGATTAATTAAAGGAGGAATGACAAGTATGTCCTGGTTTGCACAAATAAAACACAAAAAATTATGGTTAAAATATAAAAACAACAATTTTGTCTTCACAAACGTGAACTACAAACCCCACCTCTCAATATATACAGCATTTGGAAAATGGTAGACAAATATTTCACACAATTATATAATGCCTTTACAAACCAACAAACAAACAAAAAATGAAATGAATAACAGCCTTGAATTATATTGTAAACGATTTAATCGTACTGAAACCAACAACACCACCAAAACTTAATCTTCACCTTCGGACTCCTATAACCTAGAAATTAAACCAACAAAACAAAAATTATGTACATTATAAATTGCAATATAACATTGCCCCGTATTTTAGTCTAGCTAATCCACCTCAACAATCCAAACTTCATCCCTCAAACGCACTCCACCCAGTAACTAATGGAACTTCCGAAGTTTGTCCCCAAGGACAATCCAGCCAATCCCCGGTATCACAACGCCTATCCAATTAACTGAAAATATTTTCAGTAAATGAAATATACATATACATAAATTAAATTCAATTTATTCCTTACAGGATCCATAAAGACCTCCCATTTAGAGCACCGTACGATATGGTAAAGGACTCTCATCCGCGCACCCGTGGTAAAGGTACAACGCTTGCAAAATGTTAATGCAGAACTCATCGGACTCCACATGGTACAGCGAATACTGTAAAACGTGCTAGTGTCAATCCTGTATAAGTACAAGTAAATATACATAAGCAATATGGCTATATAAATCCGCAACAAACTTCCTAACACAGAGAGAAGTAACTAAATTCTAACTAAAATAGTCCAAACTTATTAGTAATACCTGCGCTTCCGTGGAGTTGGCATCTTATAAAACCCATAGCACCGCCGCACGATACCGCGTATGCCTAAATATTATTAATTTCTAATACAAACTCGTAATATTTGAATTTTCTCTCGAAATAAATTTCAATGGCAGTGTGATTCAATGAATTCCGCATCAAAACATTCCAACTTATAATTCCCAAGTTACCATGTTCCACAAAAAAGCTAAAACGTGACACTTTTCAATCTTTTTGGCCTATTTTATTCAATCGCAAATATCTCGTAAACTCCAAAGAAATAAATTGCATCTGATCGCAGTGTCCTAACCATGGACTATTTTCTATCAGATAGAATAGTTAAAACGGAAATCTGGGGAAAGATAAAATTTTCTACCCTTAAAATTACGTAAAAGTTTATACTTTTTCGACGATTTTTGAAAATTCATAACCCAACCTATGCCCCAAACAAATTCCAAGGATGATATCAAAAATTTTGCATCAGATAAAACATAAAATAATTACATACTCTTAAAATCGAAAATCGCGACTAAAAGTGCTAAAAGTGATATTTTTGGCCCCACCTTGCCCATTTTATTCAAACGCAAATACCTGAGTAATAATGTAAACTGGTGAAATCCACGAA